GACAAATTTGATGTCATCCTCGGTCTACCATGGCTTAGAAAGTACCAGCCATGGGTCAGCTGGCAGAATCGATCCGTGAAGATGCCTGCCGCTTGTCCATCAGATGGCCATCTGATGAACGTCTTGGAGCGTCCACAAGCGTGCGGATGTACTACGAGTGAGTGCTATGGCCTCACTTGGGGTACGGTCGTTAGTGTGACTGAACAAGATCACATTGTAGAAGGCTACAACACTGTAAAACCAGCTTCCGGCATCTGTGTAGATAAACAGGCTGCGCCGAAGGTTCACCACTCGAAGAGATCGAGTGGACTGGAACACGGATGCGCATCAAGAAGGGTGCATCAAAGAAGAGAGATTAGTGCTGTTCAGGATGAGCAACACGTTGAAGCGAGATCGACTATCAGAGAGTCGAAGAGCAAGCCCGATCGACCGAAAGAGAGTTGATCGAAGAGGACGTGACCGTGATAGTACCCGTTGCGGAAGAAAATTTCGGCGTTCTTGAGATCAATAACTTTCGAGAGAGTTATGTTGAGGGTGTGGATCCCCAACCACCTGCGGATGTGTTTCCTCAGAAAATCACCGAGACAGTGAATGTCTTGGTGAATGGCGGATTAAGTGTAGGCGCTTATACACTTGATGTGGTTGCACCTCCAAAGTCAGCTTCGGAGGTAATTTAGTTGCCAGCGCTAGAACCTAAAAGATGCTTGCGATATATGCCTGGTTGAAGATCAAGCAGATCTGCGTACTCGTCACAGAGGAAGTGTACGTCGCCGATATTCGCTAGGCACAAGTTTTTACTGAGAACGAACGGGTCCTCAGAAGCTCATCGATGGACGAAAGTGTCCTCGATGAGAAGACCCAGATTAAGAGATACACGTCTCAATCTTGGGCGTCTTTGAAGACAAATCCTTTGTACAAGGATTGGATCAAATTCAAGGATGTTTTCACCGAATCCTTGCCATGCAAGCTGCCAAAAGACAAAAGCACTCGGCATGAGATTGAACTGAAACCCGGTACGAAGTAATGTGTCATGAAGCAGTGGCCACTGCCTCGTGAACAGGGCACAGCGATCGACAAATCCTTTGCTGATCGCTTAGCGGCTGGTCATTTGAGGGAATCAACATCCCCACACTAGCTCTCCGACATTTTGTGTGGGAAAAGCCAAAGAAGGTTGGCGGATAGTGCACGCGTATAACAAATTGAACGCTGCAACTGTACCGGCTCAAACGCCGATCCCAAGAAAGGACGTCATCATAGATGGTATAACATAAAGTCACAAATTTTCGTCCATGGATCTGATGGATGGATTCTATCAGATCCTCATGCGTGAACGGGACATCCCGTACACAGCAGTGAGCACCCCCAGCGGTATGCTCTGGGAGTGGCTAGTGATGCCACAGGGGCTACGTAACGCCCTGCAACGTTCAACAGAGGTGTTACGAATCTGTTGCGATCGGTGCGAGATTTCGCACCAAGTTACTTTGATGATATCTTCGTCCATAGCCGGGCCGCGGATGGAAAGACAAGCGTGGAGATTTATAGAACCCACGTCCGGAAGGTTCTTGCACTTATGTGTGAGCCTTAGTTGTTCGCGAGCCTCAATAAGTGTATTCGCAGCGGACGAAATTCCACTTCGTGGCTTCATTGTTAATAAACAAGGCGTACGCCCTGATCCAGAAAAGATCAAGGCGATCAGCGACTAGCCTGTGCCAGTCGACGTCAAGAGACTGCGAAAGTTTCTGGCTTAGCGGCATAGTTTGCACAAGTTATCGCGCAACTACGCCGTAATGACCGTATATCTCTTTCGTCGGTTAAAAAAAAACGAGAGGTGGTCATGGAGTGCTGAGTGTCAGCACTCCGTTGAAGGCATCAAGAAAATCTTGATACAATCGCCAGTGTTGGCGATTGCAGACCAAGACAGACCATTACATGTAGTCTGTGACGCCAGCGATTTTGCAATCGGCTGCGCGTTAATGCAGTACGACTCAGACGGCGTTGAGCGCATCGTCTGTAATCAACCGCGTCAGCTGCAAGAAGATGAGCGTAACCTTCCAGTGCATGACAAGGAACACCTTGCCATGATATGTGCACTGGCCCAGTTTAGGGTATATCTCTTTGGAGATAGGCCCTTCATCGTTTTTGCCGACCATGCGTCGTTAAGCACGGCCGTAAACAGTCCACACCTTTCGCAACGAATGGCGAGGTGGCTGTCTTTCTTCGTGGAGTACAACTTCTCCGTCGAGTGTAAACCAGGACGAATCTATGTCGTCGCTGATGCTCTTTCGCGTCGGCCTGATTTCGAGCCGACTGCTCAACCCAACAGTAGGGGTGATCCCACTGTCGCGACAAAAACAGTGAGTGTTCCGTCGTCGGATCTGCTCAATGACGTGCGAAAAGCATCCGCAGAAGACGAGTTTCTTCTGCGGTTGTTGGATCACGTATCCAATTCGTGTTATCAAGCTTTGAAAAGCTTGACATCTCAAAACCGCTCTTCAACCGAACGGTATTCTTCTCATTATGGACTGCTGTAAAACGCAGCAGTCAATGGCGGCACACCTCGTGTCGTCGTTGCCGCTCACAATGATTTGCGATTTCGCATTATGTATGGGTGTCATGATGCCCCAACAAGTGGGCATCGCGATGAACAAAAGAATTACCTCACGGTAAAGCATGACTTCTACTGGCACCGCCAGCATGAGTTCGTGCGCAAATACATTTGCGCTTGCGAAGTTTGTCAACGGGTAAAGACTAGTCCTTCATCCCGTGCACCCTTGCAGCCTCTTTCAATTCTGGCAGAGTGCTGGCAGTCCGTATCGATGGACTTTGACTTTGAGTTACCCAAAGACTTTCACAAGAATACTGGTTTTACTGTGTTTGTTGATCGGTTCAGAAAGATGGTACATAATGTTGCTGCACCGGTGTCGATCACAGCCCAGGGTTGTGCTCGTGTCTTCATCAATACTATCTTCCGACTTCACGGGTTACCCCGTGAACTCGTGTCTGATAGGGACCCCGATTCACAGCGGAGTTCTGGCAATCCGTGTTCCGTTCACTTGGAACACGTTTGACGATGTCAACTTCTGACCATCCAGAAACAGATAATCAGACGGAACGCGTCAACTGCGTCCTCGAAGAGATACTTCGAGGGTATGTTCACTCGTGTACGAGTTAAAATGATCTCTTGCCGATGGCGGAGTTCGCCATCAACAACTCGGTGCATGCGTCGACAACGCATAAACCATTCTTCGTGAATGGCCTACACCATCCACGTTTAACTGCCTTCTTAGAGTATGATTCTAGTTTAAGGGAAGGGTAGCACTCGCTCAAATAAAACCCGATCTGGTTCTTGCTCATCACCCGTGGACAATGGTGTCGACGAGCTGGATGCCGATGTCGATCACATCGACATCGATGATGATGATGATGATGATGAAGACGATGCTGGTGTATTTAAGCATTGCCAACGACTGCGACAGTGAGGATGATGACGCCCTCGCTGGTGAAGACAACGTTCTATCGGCAGTGCACTCGAAGCGCACTGCTGTTGACAAGGATGGATCAGCTGGGGAATTTCTGCTCACTCGAGAAGCGGTTGTCCGCTTCGTTCAAGACTCTATTGCAGATGCAATGGACACAAATAAACACAGACAAACATGGAAGAGCAGATTTTGTTTCATTTGATGAAGCAGACTTAGTTTTACTTTCCACCGTAAATCTGCCAAAATTGCAGTGACAAAAGTGGGAAGAAGTAAATTACTGCCCAAGAATGTTGGTACACCTTGTGTGTTGCGCCAAATGGGCAAATCATGCACGATTGAACTGCCTCGGAGAATGCGCACGCATCCTACGTTTTTAATTGGACGTCTCTGTCCGTGCTAGTAGTACGAGTCCGTTTTGAGAGGCGAAGAACACCTCCGCGGTCAAGGACCGATACCACCTTCGAGTGGTCCCGTTTCAATGATCCACTCAATAAGACTAGAGAAGCGACATGCTAGTGCCATTGAATGATTTTTCAACCAGCTGGAGACAGCTCATCCCGAAGAGACCAAGTCGTACGTTCGTTCTCAAGTTGCGCCAACGCAAAAGCGGCACGATTGTTCGCTAAGGAATTGTAATATTCCTTTTCAAGGGCATGAGGCTCAAAATTTTGAGTCCGTTAATGAGCCAAGTCGTCGTGTAACTGATCCGTTACACGGTTCAGTTCCTGAACATCAAGCTGATCCGAACCTCCAGCCGCATCAGGCGTTCCCACCTCCACCACATCCTTTAATGGATTCTGGCGGTGGTCAACGCTTCCTAGTGGAGATTTTTAATTTACCGCGACATGAAGTGCTTCCTGGACGGTTTACCTCATCCACTGGCGTGGCTATTCACCGGCCTGGGACAGCTGGGTGCCTCGCGCCCAGCTGATCGTTGATGTCATTGGTCTCGTCGAGCAATAAGACGAGACCCACCCGCTGCGTTCGAATAAGGGCCGTCAGAAATGACCTCCCCGAACGCGAGTACAGGAATTGCAAAGTGTTAATCCATTCGGCCATCTTGGAAGAGATGCGCGCCATCCAGTAGGGATCATTAGTTAGGAAGGCCTCCCTAGTGGCACGGCTCGAGTTGTCTAGGTAACCTGGACACGAATCACTCCACGAGGCCGAAAAATCCTGCCTCTCTTGACAGTCGGTGCAACTTGTATCGCGCCCCGGCTGGGTTGCTTTTCTTAAACCTAATGCGAGCTGCATCAAGTTTGGCGAGCCAGGCCTCAAGGCCAATGCACTCGATGTTGTAAATGAGGGCATTCTATTCTTGCACCAAGGCTTTGCCGTCTCGCACACGGCTGCCATCGACGAACGATGTTTGAAAAACGCATCGGTATGGAATTCTTCCTCAGAACGGCCAGTTTCCGTGCTGGAATCAGTAGGACAGATCCTCTTACAGTCGAACAACGGGATTCGATGCCTTTTGGTAGTCATGCCGACCAACCGGTCCAAATCTTTGGATGACGGTATCTAAGGAGATTTCGCTTGAGGAGCGTGGTGCAGGAAATTTCGGTCCCTGGCCTCTTGATTGGTGCCAGCATGAGCACTGACACCAGTGTTACTCCGATCCCTTGAGTTACTTCGCCCGTGGAGATGTATAGGTGCATCACCACCATTCCCCTGCGTCCTAGCGTTGGATGGACTTGCGTGAGGAGGAGATTCGTCGGAATAATCACTCGATCCGAAGATCTCGGACATGATACCGCCACGTACCCCACAGCCAGTTAACCTGGCTCTTGCAGTGTCCGCCCCGGGTGATCCTGAGGCGTGAGGATTCGCCTTCGAGTCGGATGCATCATCCATCTCGCCAGAATAAATGAGCTCTATTTCAGACTCGTCTTGATTACGACCCGAGGTACCCGCTGCAGACGCAACGGATGTACCTGTCGCACGTGGTGACTCACCACGCGGACGATTCACGACAACAGGCGACGAATCGCCTGCTGCTGAGGTGTGAGAGGCACATTCCGCGGCCTCACGCATGCGTGCAGCTGCTCTTCTTGCTGCTGCAGTAGCAGCTCGCGTGATTTTGAAAACCATGCGTTGGATCGGCAAATGAATGATTTATGACCAACAAGTGCTCCCATTCCCAGGTATGAGTAATGGTGATCACCCTGTCCCAATCGATTCTATTTTAATCAGCGGGTGATTATCGGTTAAGGGGTGGGGTGATGTAACGGGGTAGCCCGTTACATGAAATTGACACCAAACGGTGTCAATAAGAATATTGTCTAGCATGACAATATTCTACCGATATTATCCGAGATGGGTAACATTGAAGGAATATTATCCCCTTTTAGATAATATTCATTCGCTGCTCCAAGATTGGTAGATATAAGACAAATCAACCATGGGTTGCCACCAATCGCTGCTAGACGCGCGCAATAAGTGGCGAGCAGGTTGTCGTCATACGACGGCGTAGTTTGACATAGTTGTATAAACCTCTGGAGTCGCATTGATAGCTTGACTATATGAAATACAGTTCTCTTTTACCCTTTACTCAATCTAGCTGTTTGAGCAGATTATCTCCCTCTGCATTCGTACGTGTGTACGTGAAGTTTTGTGGCACACTAAACAAAAGGAGCCTCGTTACAGAAACTGTCTACGAAGACACATTTGAAACTTTCACTGACACAACGTGTCCCTCGCCGACTGCTGCTTCAGATTGTACATCCTGTACGCACACCTCTTCCCACCCTCTTAGCAATTAACCCTACTGCATGTTCTTTTCTCGTACATTGGTGGATTTTACCTGGTCGGGTCACATTACTTAGACAGGTTCCTACTAAATGTTAGTTATTGTAACAGCCTTAAAGAAAAGGAAAAGCAGTAATTAGTCGGCCAAAAGCGACAGCTCTAGTAAATGATCGGTCTGAACTAGCATCGAAATGAAACCGATAGAAATTACGAAGTTTAATGCGATATGTCCCCACTCAAAGCTATACCCGCGGAGAGCGGTGTGATTATAGATCGCCAGAGACATACCAAGAACAAAGTCGAGAAAACCATAGTATTGGCTGTTGCCCTATCCGCCCACACCGAAGGGTGACAGATAGTTGCTTGTGACGCTCTACAAACGGAAAAGCCCCAAAGTGCAACGTAGGGTGCTGGTGCATAACAAGTATTAGCGCCACAGAACTTGCAAGTCACATCCAGAAACCTGACGGTTAACGCTGCTTGAACTTTGATTCTGACATTGAGTGCCGCGTCAGACGATAAGCAGCTTGACTTATGCAACACTAAAAAGTGACGAACATAAAAGATATGGCTTACTCAGGTCTTGCACTAGCAATTTTGTACATCTCCATCCTCTTCTTGACTTCGATTAAAAGTATGTAAGCAATCATGTAGATGTCAGCAAAAAGGAGAATAGCTACTTCCCAATCAGTTGGCAAGCGCATCGAACTGCTCCAATGTAATCTCGTACGTCTGTTCAGCGATGCTACGCTCTTCGTCCGTGTTGACAACCATCACCTTGGTTTTCGCGTTGTCAGCCTGGATCTCGACGGGACCTGAACCCATCGTCGACGCGGCATTTTTAGCCCCGTTAATTTCGATGCCGAGGAACCCCAGATCGTGACACACGCGCTCACGGATCGAAGCCGAGTTTTCACCAATGCCAGCTGTAAAGATGAGAGCGTCGACATCACCACCAAGTTCAAGTGCGTAGGCGCCAACAAACTTACGCACACGATGAGCGAACACATCTAGCGCTAGAGAAGCAGCCTGGTCATTGCCGATACGCACGCGGTCTTGAATGGCACGGATGTCACTTTCGCCGCAGATGCCGAGCAACCCGCTCTTCTTGTTGAGCATCGTGTTGACCTCCTGGATGGTCATGTCGAGCTCCTTGCAGAGAAAAGCGTGTAGAGCAGGATCAACGTCACCGCAGCGAGTACCCATGACAAGACCTTCAAGAGGGGTCATGCCCATGCTCGTGTCGATACACTGACCGTTTCGAATTGCAGCAATACTTGACCCATTGCCCAAGTGGCACGTGATAAAGTTGCACTCTTCAACTGCTTTGCCAAGAAGGGCCGCCGCCTTCTTGGCGACATACTGGTGGCTTGTCCCGTGAAATCCATAGCGACGCACGCCAAAGTCCTCATAGAGCTTCATCGAGAGACCATAAGTATAGGCCTTTGGCGGCATTGTCGCGTGGAAGGCCGTGTCGAACACCGCAACTTGCGGGCACGGTCCGAAGACCTCCGTCGCCACCTCAATACCCAGGAGATTGCCCGGGTTGTGGAGCGGGGCCAACTTTGTGTTCTGCTTAATAGCGTCAATCACCCGATCGTCTACGAGAGAGGCGCGACTGAAAGCTTCCCCGCCGTGTACCACGCGGTGGCCAACAGCCTTGATACTGCTGAGGTCCGAGCCAAAGAACTTGTCCACGACCGTCTCGAGCGCCGTGCGGTGCGTGTCCAGCGGCATCTCAATCTCCTCTTTCTCGCCGCTTGTCAGCGCCTTGTGCACGATTCGGCCGTGTCTGCAGTTGGCGGTGGACAGCTCCACGAGGCCCGTGAACTCGGCGGCACCCACGCCGTCGGCCTTGAGACCGAACAGCGAGTACTTGAGCGAGGAGCTACCGGCGTTGATCACTACAAGGTGCGACTGTCGTGCAGACGAGCTGGAAAACGCGCGTGTCCTCGGCGACAAGTTGATTGCAAGGGACGGGACGAAGCGCATTGTGCCGACGTGGACATGCGATTTGCGACGTGCTCAATGCTCTACGTGGGCCCAAGGGCGGGGCTGATCAGGACAGACTCACACTGAATGACGGGGACAAGTGCGACTGAAATAATTGAAGAGATTGAGGCAGAAACTTGGCTTAAATGTGTGTTTGGAACAATGCTGAGGTGATAGAAATCCTTCGACAATTGGTTGAGGCACTGGAGAGTTAAAAATAAATGGTGGCACAGTCGTACTCGACAATGCTCCCTGACTATAATTTCGTTACCTTCAGTAAAAATTATAGGGAGACTGTCCGTGCGAAGCACAAACCAGCTGTTGTCATTCGACCTGTTAGTTCACTACCAAATAATAATTGCAATTGCTAGACTTGCATGTACGCAATTTATTATGCTTCAACTGCACGATGCGCAATGTCCGTGTTCGAAGCGCCTTGCTCGATGGTTCGATGCTAAAGGTGAAGCTATACTTTGAACTTCGATATTATATATGACCACCAAAAGTGACTACTTGCTATGTACGTCGGCTTAAAAACAATTGCCAGTCTGACCAAGACGTTTGTGTCCGCAATAGGTTTTCTGCAGCAAGTTGCACTTTACATACTCAAACGGTTGCTACTTCTGTGGCTGAAGTCCTGAACGGTCTTGCGCGATTGCAGGAACACTTGCTTTACTCGAAATTGTAACGGGGTGAATCGTTACATAACAATTTATAAGAAATTGTTAATAGAATATAACTGTAAGAGTTATATTCTCAGAATATTGTTATAAGGACAAATCTTCTGCAGCATTTACGAGTACTTCCTAATTGGTTGATATAGGCCATTATATTATCCAACGAAGACGCGCCACGACAGACGCACGCAATGAGTGGTGAGCAGATAGTTGATATGCACATTTGTATTTAGACATAGTTAGATGAAGATAAATAGTGATTTATTAACAAACATTAACTATGATAAATACAGTTCTACTTTTTACTTTGACCAAGTACTCGCTTCTCCTTACCGTCTTCCTCTGCACGTACGAGTGTACGTGAAGTTTCGAGGCACCGCCTTATTCTGTCGTCAGGATAAGTAGCTTGTACTGTCTCCAGAACAAGCTTCAGGGTGCCCCGTCACAGCACTAGCAAACGCAGATGATGTTATTTCTGTAACGGGGCACCCTGAAGCTTGTTCTGGAGACAGTACAAGCTACTTATCCTGACGACAGAATAAGGCGGTGCCCTGAAACTTCACGTACACTCGTACGTGCAGAGGAAGACGGTAAGGAGAAGCGAGTACTTGGTCAAAGTAAAAAGTAGAACTGTATTTAGTATAGTTAATGTCTGCAATAAATCACTATTTATTCTCATCTAACTATGTCTGAATACAAATGTGCATCTCAACTATCTGCTCACCACTCATTGCGTGCGTCTGTCGTGGCGCGTCTTCGTTGGATGATATAATGGCGTATATCAACCAATTCGGAAGTACTCGTAAGTGCTACAGAATATTTGTCCTTATGACAATATTCTGAGAATATAACTCTTATAGTTATATTCTATTAACAATTTCTTATAAATTGTTATGTAACGGTTCACCCCGTTACATCACCCCTCCCTTAACCATCAGTCACTTTAGTGACCGATTGACTAAATGGGTACTCGTCCCAATCATTTGGGACAGGGTTTGCACTTGTTGGTCCGAGTCCACTTTCCAACATCTCATCGCATGTTTAACAAGCCCATGCGATGCGCGAGCAAGGCCGCCGAGAGCGCGTCCGTACGTCTTTGTGCGGACACCGAAGCAGAAACAACAGCAACTGATGTCTCATCGGTTGCTGAAGCGACTCAGCCTGTGTCACTTGGTGATGCAGGCGCTAGTCATGAAGACACTCATGTCTTCACAGAGTATGAGCTCGGTGTCTCATACTCTCCTGATACGGAAGACGGATCCGTATCGACGGCGATTGAATCCAAGCCGCCTGCCAAGCGTGGCATGGATGATGCTATGCGTCGTAGCATCTTTGGTTCATCTGATGAATCAGATGAACCATCGCCGAAGCAAAGGCGCTCGAGGTCGCGAGACTCGGGAGCTAACAGTGGTGTCGGTTCTCCTATTGACACCACTTCGCAACGAGGTGCCAGTACTTCTGTCGGCACGTCGCAAGAAGAGCGGGACCGCAGTGTATTGCGTCTCGCTCCCGAGAAGAAGGCATGGATGCCTCCCATATCCGTCATGGATCACTTGTCGGCGACGACGAGTGATCGTTATCGAACACGGTTGTTCGATTCGTCAAGTATCCATCACCTTGACCCCAGCGCGAAAAACTATCGTGCTGAACATGAATTCTTCCTCGATGCTTTCT